GAGCCTATACAGCTTGGAGTAAGACAACATGCATGAAGAGGATGATGTGGACAAAATACTCATTTGCCTAATAATTCTGCACTCCCTGTAGATGAGCTAAACTAGAACACAAATGAATACAAAAGACACATAAAAACTCAAACACTGGGTCACACGACCCAGTATCATGACAATTGTGCTGCAATAGGTGTAGGCTGCTGGGGCATTCTCATGATGTTGTGAGTCTCTCATCTTTGAGGTGTATAAACACCTCACACTGTGTAAATACACCTTTCTTCCTTTATATATTTATCTGCACTGAATTATGATTATTCATCTCTGGCTCTCTTCCACAGCATGTCTTTTGTCCTGTTTATGAGGGTTCATATAATTGTTTTTATCTGTATTATATGGTTTAAATTAAAATATAAAGTGCCCTGTGACAACTTCTGTTGTGATTTGGTGCTATATGAACAAAAATTGAATTGGACCCTTCCCTGAGCCTGGTTTTGCTGATGTTTTTTTTTTTTTCTATTAGAAGGGAGTTTTCCCATCCCAATGTTGCACATGAGCACTTGCACATAAGGGGTCATATGATTGTTGGTTTTTTCTCTGTTGTTTTATTGCAGGGTCTACCTTGTAATATATGGTAGACACTGCAATATGTTTGAATATAACAATTCAATAAATAATTAAAAGAAATTCTACAAAAAATGTGCACAAAGTTAAGAACTTACATTACTATGTGTTCCTCATTCTTCCAGGACAGAGATCAGAGAGCTTCAGAGGCTCTCTGCAGTCTGCACTCTGAAAAACTCAAACTCTTCTGTCTGGACCATCAGCAGACAGTGTGTCACATCTGCTGCGCCTCAGAAAAACACACCAAGCACAGATTCAGACCCATCGATGAACCTGCACAACAACACAAGAAGGAACTTCAGGAAACTCTGGAGCCCTTAAAGAAGAAGTTAAAGGTTTGTGAAGAAGTTCAAGTGAAGTTTGATCAAACAGCAGAACACATTAAGGTCCAGGCCCGACACACAGAGAGGCAGATTAAGGAGCAGTTTAAGAAGCTTCACCAGTTTCTAGCAGAGGAAGAGGAGGCCAGGCTGGCTGCACTGAGGGAGGAAGAGGAGCAGAAGAGTGGGATGATGAAGGAGAAGATGGAGGCTCTGAGCAGAGAGATAGCAGCTCTTTCAGACACAGTCAGAGCCACAGAGGAGGAGCTGAGAGCTGAAGACGTCTCATTCCTGCACAACTACAAGGCTGCAGTGGAAAGAGTCCAGCGCTGCCCCCTGCTGGATGATCCACAGCTGCCCTCAGGAGCTCTGATAGACCAGGCCAAACACCTGGGCAACCTGACCTTCAACATCTGGAAGAACATGAAATACATGGTCTCCTACACTCCTCTCATCCTGGACCCAAACACTGTTCATCCAAACCTCATCCTGTCTGAAGATCTGACCAGTGTGAGAGGAGGAGAGAGGAAGCAGCTTCCTGATAATCCAGAGAGGATTCATTTGTTCTACTCTGTCCTGGGCTCTGAGGGCTTTAACTCAGGGACTCACAGCTGGGATGTCGAAGTTGGAGACAGTACAGGGTGGGAACTGGGTGTGTTGGCAAAGTCTGTGGAGAAGAAGAAAGAGTTATGTGCTGGATTATGGAAGATAAAATTATGTGAAGATAAATACTACGCACACTCACCATCAGCTCCTCTCACTGCTCTCGTAGTACAAAAGAAGCTCCAGAGGATCAGAGTGAATCTGAACTGGAACAGTGGAAAATTGTCGTTCTCTGGTCCTGATACTAACAAACACATTCACACCTTCAGAGACACTTTTACTGAGAAGATGTTTCCATACATTCGCACTCGTGAAGAAGTGAAGGTGTTGCCATTGACAGTGTCAGTGTCAGTGGAGCAGGTGAAATGAGGACGATTACATTTCTAATGTTGTTTCCTCATATTAAGTTGTATTTGTACTCTCACTGACAAATTGTAATAATATAATCGTGATGAATTGCAAGACTGCACAGCTTTGGAGCGGGATTGCTTTTAAGATCCAATTAAAATCAATGCACTCAGAAAGATTCTCTGGAGAAGATTAGAATTCTTGAAACAGAGTTTATTCACTGCATCATATGAACAGCAAGAACATACATACAGCAGAAAGCGAACAAAGCAAAACCACCTGGGGTGTACAGCCTTTAGCACAAGCAGCAAAGGAACACAGAGACAGACAGAAACCCTTTGCTTTGGCTTATCATAATAGGTCAAGACACGGTCAAACATCGCACATAAATACTAACTATTAAATCTTACAACAGGCAGTCAGTATAATCTTTTATTATACATATACTATGGTGATCCTCATACCGGTATATAAAATATCCCAGTGTGGGTTTATAGTGTTTTTGTGTATGATTGTATAGCATTAAAATTATCCTTAAGGTGATTTTATCGTGATGTGTTCAGTATCTCTGTCATAATGTTACTGTTTTGGTTGTGGTGCATGAAAGAGACTGAGTGAGTATTGAGGGATGGAGAGCGAGTTATTCAGGAGAACTTTCAGTGGCATTAACGGCCCTGTTACTGTACCACCTAAATAAATAATGGTGAAGAAGAGTCTACGAGTAAGTTACAGAATATATGTTCAATGCAGATAAATATGTAGTGTATATAGTTATATAGGTATACATATTATCCAATAATCCTCCATGCCTGAACAGAAAACCAATAAGAATAATTCATTTTTGTTAATTAT